CCATAGGCCTTCCGAGGCCACAGGGGCCTCTGGATCACACTTAGACCTGACATAGTCTTGGGCCAGCTTCTGCTTGTGCTGACTTGCCATGTGGTTTGCTACGCGCCTAGTTTTTTTTTTTTTTTTTTTTTTTTTTTTTTTTTTTTTATATATATAATATATATATATATATATATATATATATCTCATCTACGGCCATTGGTGTCGCAGAAGGTTGTGGCGTTTGGCATCCTCCAACCAACTTCTGCGACCCGCATGAGTAACTGGGAAATTGGGCCTCGTGCTTTGGCTAACCAGCTACGCTTAGTGGATGTGGCCAGGGCCTGTTCGGCCGCTTGGTGAGCTGCCCTAAATTCTTTAATGCTTAAAATGTCACGGTGCGTGCGCAGCTCAGGTCTGGTGGATGAAGCATTCCACCATTCTATACAGCATCTTTCCATGACCTGAGACATAAGCTTTATTGGATCTTTATCTGGGACAGTGATCCACCAGAGCGCGTTGTTGGCCGACTTGGTGTAACGTCCTGAGGCTATCGCTCCTAGCTTGCGAATGGAACGGACCTCGTGGGGAGTAAAACCGTGGACCCCCGCCCCGTATGAGATGGTGGAACGGCCTCCAACTGTGAAAAACCGCCCTTTACGGAGCTTCTGTTTGCCCTTCAGGCGAAGGGGCGGGATTTTCTTGACCCTGGCCCTCAATTTGATCCATAGTTTACGTCTTTGGGCCCTGGCTCCTGGTACACGCGCATGCTGTCCGGCGGTAAAATCTATCCCAAGGTTAACTGCTGCTGGAACATTCGAACCTCCCAGCTCCTTCAAGACTGACTTAGCTGCTTCCAAGAGCTTGTCTGAACTGGCTACCATGTTCAACTTTGGGATGGACAGGCTTAGGTTGAGGGCGTGGATGCCCTTGGTCATCTTGAGTGCCAGATCCGCCAGAGACTCCACTACCCAATTGACACCTTCTCCCCAAGCACATAGATTCAAGTCATGAATGTGTATGCATGCCGAGAGCCCGTCCTGGTTTGGGTCTAGTGCCTGGGTCATGATGGGCATCATGTAAGAGTTGGCTTCGTAGGTCGCCGAGGATCCTCCTGCTGTGATTCCACGGTCTGGGTATGCTGGGCTTGATATTGACCCGTCTAATATCAATCTGCGGGGCCACCTATATATCTGAATGTTGAACAACAATATATGCAATGGATAGCAGGTAAAGCTTGCCTGGTCGTA